ATATTGTGATAATAAGAAGTTATCCCACTTGATTAATATTATTAAATTTATTACTACTTCTTCATTTGGTATCAGAGCTCCATTGCGGGGCCTGATATAGTGAGTAAACAAAAGTGTTTGAGAGAAAAAACACTAAAGTGACTGAAACATGTGAAATAACTTAATAGAGCAATTTCACCGCACCAAGTGTGCCAAAGTTTGATGGAGACTATGATCATTGGAGTTTGATCATGAAAAATCTACTTTGATCAAAGGAGTATTGGAGTGTTATTGGGTCTGGAATAAAGGAACCAAAGGAGAATGAAGAGATAAATACAGCACAACAAAAGGCATTGGATGAAGAAAAACTCAAAAATATGAAAGCAAAGAACTATTTATTTCACCTCATTGAATCCATCTTAAAAACTATTACCCAGAAAGAAACAACTAAACAACTGTGGGAATCCATGAAAGCCAAGTACAAAGGAAGCACTAGGGTAAAACATGTGCAGTTGTAGAGGCTTCGATGGGCATTCGAAACATTAGAGATGAAGACAGGTGAATCAGTGAATGATTATTTTGAAAGAGTGATGGAAACAACAAATGACATGAGCAATTGCAGAGAGAATATGAACAAAGTGAAATCATTGAAAAAATACTTAGATCTTTGACAAAAAACTTCAACTTTGTTGTATGCACAATTGAAGAGTCTAAGGACATTGATCTCCTAATTATGGATGAGTTGCAAAGTTCACTACTTGTTCATGAGCAAAAGGTAAGAGAAAAGTGGAGTGAAAAACAAGTTTTGCAAGTTGAGCATGGCACACGTTATGGACGTGGGAGAGGAAGACACAATTTTCAAATAGGAGATAACAGCTATGTTAGGAGACGGGGAAGAGCAAAACCATTTGTAAATAGGAGTGATATTATATGTTATTGGTGTCAAAAACAAGGACATTACCAATTTGAATGTCCAAGTCTAGAAAAAGAAGCAAACTATGTTGAGCTTGACGAGGAATAGGAAATACTTATAATGGCTCATGCCGAAGTTCAAGAGATTAAAGACAAAGGGATATCGTTTCTTGATTCTGGTTGCTCAAATCACATGACAGAAATAAAAAATGGTTTGTAGAACTAGATGAAAATTTGTACTATTAGATTGGGAAACAACTCAAGAATATCTATAATAGGAAAAGAAAGTGTCAAGTTTGAAATGGATGAAATCGTTCTAACTGTGAGTGATGTTTACTTTCTATCTAATTAACCAACAATTTGATAAGTATAGACCAACTTCAAGAAAGACACCTGGTAATAATAATAAAAGAAAGTGCATGCAAAATTTATCATCCTGAAAAAAGGAAAATTATAGACAATAACATGACTCTGAACCGGATGTTTGTGATTCAAGCTATATTAAAATCGCTTCCACATAAATTCTTAAAGGTTGAGGAGGAGAACTTTGAGAATCTATGGCATAGAAGGTACGGGCATGTAAATCATAAGTTCATTATTGCTATGCAGAAGAAACAAATGGTGAAGGGCCTACCAATGTTCAAAGAAACTGTGGGGGTTTGTGAAGTGTGTAATATTGGCAAGCAACACAGAGACAAAATACCAAAGAAAATTAATTGAAGAGCATGAGAAAAACTTGAATTAGTACATGCAGATCTGTGTGGTCCAATCACTCGAATCTCTCATAGTGGTAAGAGATATTTGCTAGTGTTTGTAGATGACTACTCTCGCAAAACTTGGATTTATTTTCTTGTGGAAAAAGGTGAAACATTTGAGATATTCAAATGCTTCAAGAATTTGGTTGAGAAAGAAGCTCAAAAACATATATGTTGTTTACGAACAAATAGGGGGGAGAATTCACTTCAAACAAGTTCAATAAGTTTTGTCTAGAGAATGAAATTAAATGATAATTAAAATCTGCTTTCAAACCACAAGAAAATGAGATAGCCGAACAAAGAAATCGAACAATTATGAATATGGTGCGCTGCTTACTTACTGAGAAAGAGATGTCAAAGTCCTTATGGGTAGAAGCTACAAAGTGGACAAACCATGTGATTAATAGAAGTCGTACTAAAGTAGTAAAGGAAATGGTACCAGAAAAAAGATGGAGTGGGCATGAAGAGCAAAAACATAAGGAACAACCAATAAGAAAAAGAGAGAGAGAGAGAGAGAGAGAGAGAGAGAGAGAGAGAGAGAGAGAGAGAGAGAGAGAGAGAGAGAGAGAGAGAGAGAGGTTGCAAGATTACGAAAGTGGGGAGGGTCTCTCTAAAGAAGAACAAGAGGTCAGAATGGTTTTTTTCATGTCAAATGATGATCCCAAAAATTATAAGGAAGCTATGAATGATGTAAAACGGATAGAAGCCATAAAACATGAAATAGATATCATGAGAAGAACAAAGCATGGGAGTTAGTGAATCTACCAACACAAGCTAAGAAAATTGGAGTAAAACGGATTTACAAAACCAAATTGAATGAAGAAGGCAAGGTTGATAAGTACAAAGCTCGACTTTTTGCAAAAGGGTATACACAGGCAGAAGGGGTAGACTATAATGAAGTATATGCTCCTATTGCACGATAGGACACAATTTGAATTTTGTTGGTTGTGGCAGCATAAAAAGGATGGAGTGTGTACCAGTTGGATGTGAAAATGCCTTCTTATATGGAGAATTGAAGGAAGAGGTATATGTGGATCAACTTGACGGCTTCATTAAACACGGAGAGGAAGAAAAGGTATATAGGTTGAACAAAACCTTATATGGCCTAAAGTAGACGCCAAGAACATGGTTTAGCGTAATCAATAGTTACTTCCAACGAGAAGGATTTACAAAGAGTAAACATGACCATACTTTATTCATTAATAGAAAAAAGAAAAAATAATCATGGTAAGTATTTATGTTGATGACTTGATATATACTAGGAATAATAAAGAATTGTGTGCAATATTTAAGCAGTCCATGATGAAAGAGTTTGAGATGAAGGACCTTGGTAAAATGAGGTTCTTCCTTGGAGTTAAAGTAAGTCAAAATTCACTTATGCCAAAAGAAAAATGCAAGAGAAATTTTGGAAAGATTCAATATGTAGAATTGTAACTCTGTCAAAAATCCAATAGTTCTTGGAATTGTGTTGTTAAGAGAAGGTGGAGAAGATGTTGATTCAGCTTTGTTCAAGTAATTGGTAGGTGGTCTGATGTATCTTACAGCTACACACCCAGATATAATGTACGTAGTGTGTTTGATTTCACGTTACATGGCTAATCCAATGGTAGAACACATGCAGATTGCTAAAAGATCCTTGAGGTACTTAAGAGGTACTTTGGATTTTGTCTTATTTTATAGAAAAAGGACTGCATCGAAGCTTTTGGCATATACTGGCAGTGATTATGCAAGAGATGAAGACGGCAGAAAGAGTATTTCATAGTATGTGTTTCTACTAAGTGAGGCAACAACTTATTGGAGTTTGAATAAGCAAGTCATTGTTAAATTATCCTCTATTGAAGTTGAATATGTGGCGACAACCTCATGTGTTTGTCATTGTGTTTGGATGATAGAAGTTTTTGAACAAATTGGAGATGAAAATTGTGAATGTATTGATATTGTTTGTGACAACGGTTCATTAATAAAGCTCTCTAAAAACCCTGTGATGCATCAGAGGATTAAACACATTAATGTCAGATATCATTATTTACGTGATCTTTCAAATCAAGGAGTTGTAAAGTTGGTTTTCTGTGGAACATAAGAATAAATTGCAGACATTATGACAAAACCATTGAAATTGGATCAGTTTATGAAACTTAGGAGGCTACTGAAAATACAACCACTTGAAAATTAAACTGTATGCTCAACAAGCATTTCAGTTTAAATGGAGAAATTTATTGATATATTTACTAAGACTTAGTTTTTTTATAAATATAAATGTTAATTTAATAATTGAAAAAGTTAAATAAGTGTCATTGATTATTATAGTTTGTATTCCTTATTTTTATATGAGGTTTATATTCAAACTGTAAGACTTATATAAAATCATTACATTCTCATATTGTAATAACAAGAAGTTATCCTACTTAATTAATATTATTAAACTTAGGCAAAAATACTGTCTAGGTCCTTTAAATTATTCTTAAATATCAAGTTAGTCCTTTAAGTTTTTTTTGTAACGCTTTGATCCTTTATGTTAAGTAACGTTTGCGTCGTTGACCTTTTAAAAAAATCTCTGTTACAATAAATTGCAAACTCATATACCATTTGAACTGGTTTTTCGTGCTGATCACGAATATGCAATCAAATTTATCAAACAAGTTACGGTTCATGAAAATCAAAGAAAAAAGTGGACAAATACATAATAAAAATTCGTTCGATCTGACCAAAATAAACAACCAAACACAAAACTAATTACATATTCGTGATCAGTGTGGAAAACCAGTTCAAATGGAATATGAATTTGCAATTTATTGTAACAGAAATTTTTAAAAAATTCAACGACACAAACATTACTTAATATAAAAGACCCAAACGTTATAAAAAAACTTAAAAGATTAACTTGATATTTTAAAATAACTTTAAAAACTAAAGCATTAAAATTATTACAACTTTTTCAAAAGTAACACATAAAAATATCATACAAACATACTTTTCATTAATTAAGCCCAAGATATTAATAGTCCACTCAAAGTAATCTATTCACACCCAAAATTTATTTATATAAAAAAAACAAATAAAAGCCATGTTCCATATCTAGACTCCATCCAAGTCACCTATTTCACTCGTATTCAATTTTCAACACCTAGACTCATTAATTAAAACCATATTAAACAAAACACCAAACTTGATAATTCTGAACACGTTTCATTCTTATCTTGAATACTTTATTCCTAACGTTTTCTCAATCCGGTGTGCTTTGAAAAAGTCTTGTGCTCACGGTTTCATTTCATAAACAAACTTCTATCTATATATGAAACAAAACTCACTTCAATTTCACATTCACACACATTCTCTCCAAAAAACACAACAAAAATGAGCAAGGGACATAGTAAGAACGTGTTTATGAGAATCATGTGTTGTCCAATAAGAGCACTTGGAAAAGCAAGAGACGCATACGTAAGAAGCATAACAAACTGTGGTCAGAGTATGAATTACGGTAGTTATCCAATGGATGCTGCTAGTAGATTCTCTTCTTTATCAAGAAGTCAAAGTGCTGCAACAACATCATCAAGAAGATCATCATCATCATCATCGTTATCAAGACTTGATAATAATGAAGACTTTGCTGAGCTTGTTAGAGCTGCTTCTGCAAGGACTTTAGGGAATAGAATGGACATAGATTTGGTTCTCAAACAACAAGAACAACAAAAGATGAATAAAAAGTTACCTAAGTCTAGTAGTGTTGGAATGGCAAAGATTGATGAAGATATGCCTTTTGATTTTGGTGTTGGGAATGGTGTTGGTTTTGTTGTTGATTCTTATCCTAGATCTAAGAGTTATGCTGTTGGAAATAGAACTAGGAATGGTGTTTTCTGAATTTATGTTGTTGAATTCAATTGAAACTTTTTTATGTTTCTGATATTTGTGAGGTTTTGTAAGAAATTATAAGAGAGGGGTTTAATTGAATCTTAATCTCTTTTTAATTGAATATTGTGATTTGGATGGATAGTTGTACATGATTTCTGTTATGTTTCCAGAAATGAGATTTGTAAATTTGGTATTTTTTTTCAATTTGATTCTATGTTTTTAAAACAATTAAATGATTTTTTTTCATGTGGATACATAAATAATTTGCAAATAGGCAATAAGTTACAAAATTAATAATTTTTAAACACTATATTTAATATTCTAGCTTATACAATATTGTTATATATTGTTTGTAAAAGATTTTCTGTTTCTGATGCTAGTAAACTAGAGATGTCAAAGATAAATGATATAAAAGCAGTTTTGAAAACTGTTTGTCTCACAGTAAAATCTATTATTTAAAGCAGTTTTTTATGTTTGATTACATTATTTAAAGCAGTTTTACAAACTGTTTGTCTCACAGTAAAATCTATTATTCTTAGTTCTATGAATAGGAAAATTTCGATCAAGTCGACGCATACATATTTTTTTTCTATTCATCCATATATTAGAACATCGGCGGAAGGAAGACTTGATCTTCTCTCATATAAATCAATTAAAAAATTCACAAACACCTCTTTTTTTACAAATGCATTTACATACCTAAATATATCAAACAAAAAACCCCTAACAAAGTCATTTTTTAACTCTTTCATTCAACTTTTTTAATAGAACAAATCAATTCGTGTTATTTTAGTCCACTTGTCTAAAATAGGCGGAATAATCTATCTCGTTAGAAATTAGAAGCACCTCTCTTTATTGCTTATAGAAAAAAGCACTTTTTTCTCTAAATTTTAATTTTAAACTCTTTGAATATTAATAATTTATGTTTTTAGTATATATTCTTTATATGTTTTTAGTATATGTTCATAAAGAATTTTATTCAGCTTTCAATAGGATTTCCTGCAAGTGAATGATGACATTAATTTTTTTAGATTAGTGAATCCTTAGATAGGATATTAAGATTTAAAAAAAAAAACATGTAAATGTAACGTTTCCATTACATCATTGTAGTGACCAAATTTGCTTACTTTTTCTTTATTTTCATAGAACCTGAGTTGCTTCCTAATATTGTCTCTATTTTAATTATTATTAGGCATCAAATTAGTAAATTACCCACATATAAATAACTAATACTAGTATGATATTGTCAACAAAAAAATAAATAAAAATAATAATTAATGACTTTTTGGCAAGAAAATGTGCAATTTGTATGGCATTTTTAGTCAAATTTATACACCGGTTGAAATGGTAATTAAAGGATCCAAAATTGAACTCTCATTTATAGTCAATTTGTATGGCATTTATAGTCAAATTAATTTTAAATGGATGCAGGTTTGATTAACTTAATTTTAAGATCATTGTGTGTGATTCTAATTGCAGTTTACATATGTGCTCAAGAAGATTAGTTATCACTAAGCCAAAATTATTGTTAGTTTAATGTCATTGTCATGTTTTTCTTTAAACAATTATAATTATAAGGGGTGTGCAGAACCCAACTCAACCCGAAGATCCGTCCCAATTCAATAGTTTCGGGTTAGTCTTTTTCCCGTCTCATGTAAGAAAATAAAAAAGCATGACGGTCCAAAAATGAACCCGATATCAAGTGAGAAGAGTTAAAAAAAAACAAAGACAACATGTGAAAACATGAAGAAAAAATTAGACTAAATACCAGACTAAAAAGAATTGTCCCAACCTAAACTTATTAAGGAATATATAGTGGAAGAAATTGTGGATGCTGTTAATCTTGAATAAGATCATAATGTTGTTGAACAATAAAATGTGGGAAAATAATATTATGGAAGATGAACCTGTTGTGAATGATCAAGAATCTTCCACAAAGTATCAAGAATTAATCTAAGGTGAATAATAAAAACATGCCACAAATTCTCAAGAGTCTAATATGAATGATGGAGGTGAAAGTGATGATGATATTAGAAATATGAGTTATAAAGAAGACAATGTAATGTATATATGTTTTAAATACTCTAATGATTTTATTATGATAAAATTGAAATTAAAAAACCATACAATTTAGATGTTGATCAGAAGAAATACATGCTTAAGAAAAAGTTAAGTAACATCAAATTTACCTCAAAATGAAGCTGAAAGTAAAAAACTAAAGAGTGGTTGTGAAAGTGACAAGAAATGTACCAAAGAAAAAAGATTGTCCAATTTTTAGGACTGTGAAGAATATTTGAGATTACAAGTGGGAAATATGTACTTGTTTTGGTACAAAATATGATTTTAAAGAAGCAATAACAAAGTACATTTAAGAAGAAATCCAAAGTTAGAAAATGTGACAATAAAATATGGATGATAATGACAATTATATTGTGACAAATCACTAAATAAATTCAACTAAGAAATTTGGAGAAGAGACATAACTATCGTAGAGATTATAAGATAAAATTGATAAGTATAGAATGACTAAGTAAAAATATTCAATAATCTTTAAAAATATTCAATAATCTTTAAAAGAAAATCTAAAGATCGAGGTTAGAGACTTAAGATAAAATGCTCAAAGAAAATGAAATATTAGCATTAATAAAACAAAGGTTATTGGAGCAAGGTGCAAAGCTACATACATGGTAGATCCATCATTTAAAGAGTGATATACTAAAATTTATAAAACCTATTATCATGAACTTTTAAGATCAAAATTTGGTTCAATAGTTAAGATTAAAGTTCAACCTCTTCAAGGTGCAGGAGGTGACTTAGTACAACCATAGTCATAAGGTCGTCCATGTGCAGAGCAACAAATACTATAGCACAACGCTCCAAATTTTAGAAAGTCCAAATTTTTTCATTAATATTAATAGACATAAAAAAATGTTATAAAAAAATTTAATAAATAAAAAAATGCAATGATAAAAATCGAATACATAAAAAAAATGAAATTTATCAAAAGTCAATTAATTAAAGTTAAATTTATTTTGTACTAATATATTTGATGTGTCATTTTTAATTACTATAATTTTTTTTTTAATTTAGAGCCATTTTTTAAATTAGAGCGTGGCCTCCGGGTTGATTGGACCATATCATATCAGAATTAAACAATGTCAACTAATCAAAAGTGAACCATATCATATCTAAAGTGAACAATTTTGCTCATAATCAGAAGTGAACAATATAAACTAAGAACTATACAATTTTAAATAATCAGAACTGAACCACTAACGTAATACAAAAAGTGCTCACAAACATTACTATAAAAAGTAGTCACAAACAGTAGCACAAAAAATATTCACAAACACCAGAACAAAAGGTGGACATAAAATCATACTGTAGTTATGGTTCAGTCGTATTTGAAGCTCCATGTGTTAGGGTTGCCTAAATTGTTGATCCCTAATTTGGTGTTGGCTATGTTGTTCCCACCTAAATTGGTGGTTGTTGAGTTGATTTTTCCTAACTTGGTGTTGACTGTCTTGGTCTTGCTTGAGTAAGTTGAGTTGTTTCTTGTGTAATTGTCATTGATAGTTTGTAAATTACCTTGTTGTATCCACTCATGTGACATCGACTATACTTGATTCCAAAATTGTCTCGCTTTAGTTATGTCGCATCTTTCAACATCTCTCAATTTTCCCTGTTATTTTTTTTTCTTGGGCCTCCTAGATTGTCTTTTGATTGGTGGTGTCTATAAGTCGACATACTTTGTTTTATTCCACAAAGTTTCCTCATTCACTAGATAAATAACTGATGCATATCAGCCTTCATATTAATCCTTCTTGTAGCAGTCAGACATAAAATCATCAATTTTCAAGTGTTGGTCCTTCATGCAGGATATTACATGACATCATGGTAGCCTTGTCAACATTCACCTCTTACAAAGACATTTTTTTACACACTCACAATATATTTTTCTTCATTATATGAGATATGCCTAACCTCATAATCCTATTCACGAGCACGCTGGTAAGAAACATAGAAATCACACATTACATAACACTCCAAATGCAAGACCCAATAAAAATTCACAACAGTAAGAAATAACCAATTGCCTAACTATGTAATTGTTTGTTATTTTGTGATTCCTTTTCCATTATTTTCTTGATATTTGGTAGAATCTGGCCATCATATTTTGCAATCTTTTGCCTATTTGACTCCCGCCCCAACATAAGATACACTATGGTTTCTTCAATCATACTGACCATTGGCTTGTCCTTAGCAGTTACAAAAACTGAGTTGAATGCCTCTGACATATTGTTCACCAAACTATCAAACCTTGTAGTTGTTCTAAATCTTGATTTGCTAAAAAACTTTGGTAAAATCTTTATCAAGTGCTTGAATGAATTCTCATTTACTTTCTTTATTTCAAGCATGACCTTTTTCCCATAGATTAACATAACTAGCAGTATCAGTCTTCCCATCAGTTCTTTTAGCTTAATGTTTGAATACTTCTTCCTGTACAAATGTCTAAACATGTATGATTGCAATTCAGTCAGTTCAATCAACATTTAGTAACAAAATTAAACACAACCAACATATATGATTATAGTTCATATGACATTTAGTAACAAACTTTAACACAACCAACATGTATGATTGCAGTTATCTAACACAAAATCTTTGGTCCACTTCATGGAGAAATTCCTCAAGTGCTGACAATAAACACTATAGTTAAAATAAAAAGCATATTAAAACAGTAAACATATAATGCACTTGAATATGTAAGTCATACATAAAACATAAAATATCATCTTTTGTTGATCACTAATGAATGTGTAAGTCCTACATAACATGACCCCTCCTAAGTCACTTATTAATAGTTTAAGAAATAAAGTCCATGAATCATTGGTTTCACCCTTTACCACAACAAATGTTATTTATTGGCAACATTTGATCATCTGGGTCCAATCCAATTGCTACTAGTATTTGGCCACCATAAAAACCCTTCAAAAAACACCCATCTAATTATATAATGGGTCATACAATATTATATTCAAGGGAAAGTATGTGCTCTTCAATAATATTGGGTTAGGACAGTAGATGAAGAACATATAAATGCACTGTAGCATTCATCGATGCAATGTTTTTCATCATTTTCTTTCCTATATCATCTTCCAAATGAATCAACCCTCTATTGTCTATTGCATCATAATACTTCAGCTATTGGGTACTCTAAATTCTTTAAACCACTCATAACTTCAAAATAACTCTAGAAATCAAGGACATATTGCCAAACACACTCTAACTCTTTGTAACCTAATTTTGTAAACTCAATAAACTTACCCCATGATGCACAATACACTCAAATCACTCATACATGACATATTCAAGTTAAAGAAGGTAGAAGGTTCAGTGAGAAAGATACATTAACAAAAAAATTTACATTTTTATTAAGTTCAGACGTGAGAAATTGTACATTCAATAATTGAGATGAGTAACAAAAATTAGTTTTCGTAACTTCTCAACCATGCTCGTCTTCGTCTTCATATCTTCTTCATATTCTAGAGTTTCTCTTCGTTTTCTCTTCGCGTTCTCCTCTTCATCTTTCAATTTTACAAAACACTGAAATGACACAAAATAATTTCAATAAAGCCAACGGATTTCAACATAAAAACAATTAAATTTAAAATATTCATAAAAAAAAATGTCAAATAACACAATACCACATAGACTATCATATATGCCCAAATCAACCTTTTCCCAACATTTAACAAAATTGTTGTTTAAGAAACCAATACAACTTTTGTTAAGAGACCAATACATAAAATAAGGAATATAATGGAATCTTAAATTAAATTATGAGATGAAAAGTTACATTAAACCTTAAATTAAATAAAAATATTCTTTATTTTATTTTATTTATGAAAAAATTTAGAATTTAGAATGTTGGATTCCATTTCCATCACTTTATCATTAAGGGTGTGTTTGGTTCGGGGTAGATGGAGGGGAGGGGAGGGGAGGGGAGGGGAAATTTTTAATTAAATATGTTTGGTTCAAATTTTAGGAGGGGAGGGGAGGGGAGGGGAGGGGAGCAAAATCCCTCCAAAACACACTTTTTGGTTCCCTCCGAATTGGGGGGATTTGGAGGGGAGGGGAGGGAATATTAGTTTTGATATTTAAAAATTATTATATTTACTAAAATATCCTCAGTTTAATTTTATTATTTCAAAACTATTTGTTATCTTTTATGTTACTGTTTTTTCTCGATTGTTTTCATCAATTTATTATAATTGTTCTTCGCCTTCAAATTATTTTATAATTTTTATAATTAATATAAATCATAATCATTGTCTTTTTTTTATAAAAAAAATTATGTTTCGTTATATTCGTTTTTTTTTTCTTTTAATTTTGTTATGTACTCTATCATATTTTCTTTTATATCAAATTGTAAACCATATCATTTTATTTATTTTTGTTTATTCATTTTATTAAATATTCTGAACCATTAATATTTAGTAATAAGTTATTTTATATATTTGTTTTGTTATATGATTCATCACAATTTAAACGATGTTATTGGCATATAGTTTAATTTATGTTGGAAAGTTATAAGTCGAATCGATTGTACTCAATTTTTTAACTTTAGTGACAAATAAATATTTTTTTAATCACTCAATATTAGAAATTTTATTACCAACAAAAATACGCATGAATTTTTCACATTTTAATATCATATGACTTATATAAGATCATAAGGATAAAAATGTAAATTATTAATAAAACCCCTCCCCTCCCCTTCTGAACCAAACACATTTTTAATTAAAATCCCTCCCCTCCCCTCCCCTCCTCTCTTTTGAACCAAACACTTATTTGATTAAAAAATTCCTTCACCTCCCCTCCCCTCCCCTCCCCTCCCCTTCATTAAAATCCCTCCCCTCCCCTCCCCCTCATTTGAACCAAACAGACCCTAAGACCAATAAGACGCAGAGACAGAAAAAAGGTGAGTAAGAACCAGTAACCATGGCAGTATTAACAGAGATAGACGAAGATGAACTCGACGAAGAACCAGGCGAGGTTATCGAATCGGCACCGCCTCAAAAGATTGGCGAAGAAAGACAACTCACTACTAATTCACCCATCAAAAAGAAGCTCCTAAAACGCGGTCTCGGTTGGGAAACCCCCAATTTCAACGATCATGTTACTGGTTAGGGTTAATCACACTCATTTTTATTTATTTATCTATCACTAAGCTAAAATTAACCCTCCATACTGTTTCTTTTTTCAAATGCAGTTCATTACGTTGGAACTTTGCTTGATGGAACAGAGTTGGGTTCCACTAGGGTTTTGAATTGTCCTCTGACATTTACACTTGGCCAAAGTAAGTGAAATGAAAACTGCAGATGAGTTTTTATATTATTTCAATAAAAAAAATGTTTTTTTGTTATTATTTATTAGAATTTTTATGTGGGTGTGATTTAGATTTGTTTATTTTTTTGTTGGCGTTGATAGGTGAAGTGTATGCGGGATTGGATGATGGGATTGTCACCATGAAAAAGGGAGAGGTGGCATTGTTTACATTACCTGCTGCTGAGTCTGGAGGCGTTCCACGAGTCGCCAACTCGGTTGTGCAGTTTGAGGTGGAACTTGTTTCTTGGATCACAGTGGTGGATGTTTGCAAAGATGGTGGAATTATCAAGAAAATTATGGAGAAGGGGAAAGGGAATGATCGACCCGGTGATCTTGACGAAGTTCTTGGTATTCTAACAGCTGTTTATACATAATTCTTTTGCTTCCTGCATGTCAACAAGTTGAGCGTTATTATGTTATCCATTTTAATGACATTTTCTGTTGTTGTATCTCTTTTTTTGTCCCTTGTTTTAAAATTGAAGATTGTGTTGGCTTATTAGTCTCTTTTGTACTTTTTGGGTTCTATAGTGAAGTATCAGGTGGCACTAGTTGACGGCACCATTGTTGCAGAAACACCGGAAGGAGGATTTGAATTCTATGTGAAGGATGGTAACATTGTTGAGTTATACTCCTATTTTATTTCACCCAACAGTGAATATAATTTAATTTTTCATCTCAGTCTTTGTAACAAATTATTTTTTTGATTGAAGGTCATGTTCTTCCTACGTTGCCAAAAGTGATCATGACTATGACTAGGGGAGAAAAGGCTGAATTAATTTTTCAACCTCAATGTACGCACGCACATTGTTCTTTTATTCCACCTATAATATCTGTTTTTTTTTACCTTTCTTGTAACCAAATGAAAGGATATTTTATGTTCATATATTCCCTCATTCTTTTAAGAGGCATGAAATTTCGTTCTCGGTGCATCACTCTAATTGAAATGAAATGGAATAGCCATCTTTATATTCCGTTGAAATTTTCTGCTTACCTCTAGTTGGCTTCTTTTATCGGTGTCTTAGTTACTACACCGTACTTGGTATTGATAACTTGATTGAAATACGGTCCTTCAAATTGTCAAATATTTGCAGTCCAATATCTCAAATGATTAGTTTGGAATTGTTTTCATATGGTGAATGTAGATGCCTTTAGGGAGACGGGGAGAGAAGCTGGCAGCGGGTTCCATTCGATTCCCCCGGATTCAGTGCTGCATGTTAATATTGAATTGGTGTCCTTCAAGCCTGTCATAAATGTTACTGGCGACTCTATGGTGATTAAGAAAATTTTGAAAGAAGGGGAGGGTGCTTTCACAGCCAACGAGGGTGCAAATGTTACTGGTATGATAATGACCCAAGTTTCAGTATTGGTTCAGTTGATTTAAATAAGAATGAGTCAAGAATTATAAGAATTGTAGTCATGTAACTTGATAAGAGATTTCTAATCTTTAACTAAAGGATTATCGGATACTTTCAAACCCTGGATGACGTGACTGTAAGAATGATCCTCATTTTACTAACTGGTTTTGTTAAAATTGCCATGGCAGTCAGTTACACGGCTATGCTAGAAGATGGCACGGTATTTGAGAAAAGAGGAATCGGTGAAACACAGCCCTTGAGATTCGTAACTGATGAGGGTGAGTATATTCTCCACCACACTCTTACATGCTTTGTGTTACCCCTTATAGTAAACTGTTTATGCCTTCTAGGAAGTGATGATACTAGTATTTTTTTTTCTGTTTGTAGAGCAAGTGATTACTGGTCTAGACCGAGCAGTGGCAACAATGAAAAAGGGCGAGAAGGCCATAGTTAGCATACATCCTGATTATGCATTTGGAAATGTGGAAGTGAGACAAAATCTGGTTATTGTGCCACCAGGCTCGAAAGTAGTTTATGACATTGAAATGATAGATTTTATTAAGGTAAAAAGAAAGAAATCCTCTGCCTTGGCACTTTGTGGAATTAGATATCTAGGTTTTTTCTATAGACTACTCCCTCCGTTTCAAAGTGAATGTTGTTTAAGGTTTTTACACATTTGTTAAGAAATGCAATAAATTGAAGAAAGGAAATAGTTATTTTACGAAATTATCTTTATTAACTATTGATGTGTTTCCACTATCATAAATGCATAGGAGAAAGCACCATGGGAGTTAAATAATACTGAGAAAATTGAGGTAGCCAGGAGGAAAAAGGAAGAAGGAAATTTATTATTTAAAAGTGGAAAGTATCAGCGAGCAGCGAAGAAGTATGATAAGGTAAGTCCTTTACTTGCAATGGCTTAAAATTTTCAAGTTCAATTGAAGTTTTTTTAGTTCATGATTTTTGGTCCAAAATCCATGATACCTACCTATTTCTCAGGCAGCGGATTTTGTTAGTGAAGATGGATCCTTTGGTGATGATGAGCAAAAGCTAGCTAAGTCGTTAAGAGTTTCGTGCTGGTTGAATGGTGCCGCTTGTTGCCTTAAACTGAATGACTTTGCTGGAGCAATCAAACTATGTACTCAGGTAACAGCCACTCGAGTCATTAGGCAAAGTTGAGCTAATGCATGAAATTGTACTAGTTAAGGACTCCAGTTATCAAAGCCGAGTTAACTCACTTAACAAATTTGGTTTTGTGTAAACTCGCTAAGACTTGGATAGGATTGAGTTAAACTGGTTTATACAACTATTGTTAAACTTCAATACAGCTGAGAAACTTATTGAAATATTATAACCCTCGTTACATGCTTCTCTTACTCTTTTCATCAGGTACTTGATGTTGAGTTTCACAACGTGAAAGCTTTGTATAGACGAGCGCAGGCATATATAGAGACGGGAGACTTTCTTTTAGCAGATATAGACATCAAGAAAGCTCTTGAGGTGGATCCACAAAACAGGTACATGTAAATGATTGATTTGATTCTCCAGAGAAATTTATTGCTAGATTAAAAGCTTAACATGGTGGAGCATCGTTTTTCATTTTCCAGGGAGATAAAGGTGCTGAAAATGAAAGTGAAGCAACTTCAAGCTGATAGTGACAAAAAAGATGCTAAACTGTATGAAAATATGTTTGCTCATAAACCGAAGGTGATTAGTGTTTAAACTTGATAACTCTTTTATGTTAGTGTACTTCAAATTTGTGTTGCCTTAAATCACATGTTTTCTCTTGCCAACTTTTGTTAATCTCAGTTTCCATTGTTTTCTTGATTCTGTATAGTGTATTTCTAATTTCTAATTAAAACTCTTATCACTTTGCTCAAGCAGAGATTGAAGGTTGAGAAAGAAGAGGATGAAGTGGTGAAAATGAAAATGGACAATGTTGGTGATAGTGCAGCTCCTTCTGATGGTGGTTTAATTATTGATTCTTGTTGAATCTGGATAGTTTCTTTACAATATAACGATGCTTCTAACAAAAGAAAGTATATACAATCTGTAGCAGATGATAGCTGCATATAAAATTTCAGATGAATGTTTAGATGGTCACACAGAAGACATTTATTTATGGAAAATCGACAAAATGTGAATATTGATTGAATATTAATCCATTCCTATCCTTTGACATGGCATGATGAAGGGTTACATTAAAAAATTATTCTCAATTCCAAGGTGTGTTACCAATGTTGGTATTTGAAAGATTCCACTCTAGCCAAAATATGAGTCCTAGGCTAAAGAATTTTGCCCAATGATCAGATTTGACGATGGAAAACTGAAAATCCTTTCAGTTTTAACCGTCTTTAAGAATGTGCATGACGGATTTAGGCCCATCTTAACATCGTGGACAACAACTATCATCTGTCATATTGCATTTGTGTTAATCTTCATTTGTCAAAAGTTTATCATGGTAGACTTTTCAAAGAACAAATGTATCTTGTTAGGAACACTGATCCTCCAAATAATCTTAAACAAGTTATGGACATTGCTATCATTTTACTTTTTAGAGAAATGAATAATGATTATAAGCATACTTGAGGGGAAAAATCACTACTACAATTCTAATTAGGAAAATTTGATGGCAATTCTTCCTCCAATTGATAAATGATATCATGTAAAATTTGAGAAAAATTAGAATAAATCATGTTTAATAATGATATCATAGCAAATATTAAAGTAACATCATGATTATGGCGTGTTATAGAAATGAAAGGTATTGGATGTGTAAACTCTAATTTTAGGGTTCATTTTGCTCCTTTAATTTCATGGTTCATCTTGGTCCAGCCACTATATTAGTGTCATGGCTAAGTTGAAGAGGATCTAGATCATGAATTCACCCATTCTTCCAAAATTTGTATCACTACCATTGGTAAGAAAGCTAAATGAATACTTAGAAGTTATTTGATGCATCACAAATACTCCAAGTTATTTGTAAAATATGAAGAAAGTTGAGAGCTTTCCAAGTTTCTTTTGCAACTAAATCTTTTATGGTTTTATATAAAGAAATATTTTATGGTTTAATCCTGTCTCAATTTTATAAAATTTATAATTTTGAATTTATCGGTTAATATTGAACTGATGAAAATTGATAGTTAATTTAAAAAAATTATATTTTATAAATACTTCTTGTTGTTTTGGATATGAAACTATACATATCAAAAGAGACGAGACACACACACGAATTTTACGATCTTTGTATTCAAATCTATATTCTAATTAAATACAAATTCATCGTTTTAAATTCAAATAAAAATAAATAATTGAATTCAAAACCAGTCTCAAATAAGTTTAGATATTTTCACAATGCTCCCATCTCTACATCATAATCAATTCTTTCAGAATAAATAATCCGTTTTTTCAAATTCATAATTTGTCATGAATTCTAACAAATCTGATTCTTCCTTGTCATGAAAATTATTTAAAATATGACAAAAAACATTCACTCAGATCTGATTCTTACTTCTAAAGTATGATAAAAAAAACTAATATTATTTCAATTAACATATTAGGATCTTTATTACGTAAATAATTTAGTTTTCTTTTCCTTTGATCTTTACATTCATTTTTACATCCTTCTAAATAGGAATTGCTTTTCTCTTTTTGCATATTAGACGAAGCGAGTTTTCCTTCAATTACTATTTGCAATGCTCCATCATCACACCTAGTGACCTTCGCCAGATTAAGACTTTTATACTTTTTCTGTGAATCTCCGCCCATTACTTCTTTTCCTATGACATTCATCCAAAAATGCAAACTAAAAAACATACATAAGTATACAGATTAGGTTATCAAAATCTTTGATTTAACTACTGTTACACTCATACATTACACAAAATATTTCAAACAAACAAAAATAAAAGACTGCATACATACTAGGAGCTCTACAGCAATGGCGGTGTTTTATTAATTGAAAATCTATAGTTCTTTGATAAAGATAAACAAACAAACATGCAAAACTTTTACAACCCTAAAGACGAAACCCTTTCTTTTTCTATTTTGAAAAGTGAAGAGTCAGTAGTTTTATGAATGAAAAAATCTATGTATTTCTTTTCTTTTTTTCAACCACTCTTCACTAATATTATTCTTAATAAATTATATAAAAATATTTATAACTATACTCTTAAACTTATTTAGAGACTTACAATTATAATATGAGATTTACAATAATATTATATTTATCGATATGTAACTTTAAAAAATTATTAAACTAATCGTGCTAGTTAATTATAAGTCTTTTTCTTTTTTTATAATTTTAAATAAATACGATATTTGTTAAATGATATGTTTGGACAAAAGAATAGGTCAGTTAAATATTCATATCCCCTCTATCTATAATTATATATTTTTAAATCACCAATGTATTATATTCATTTTTTTATTTATAATGACAAAAGTCGACCCCAAAAATTTGGAGGTCCTAAACCAATTTTAAAATGAATCTCAATAAAATGGAATGCAATTTTTTATAAATAATATATTTTAAAAGTAAAATGTAGATACTAAGAGTTACCTATTAAGTTTTGAGTGAAAATTAAACTACTTTACCACTATGATAGTTGTTTATATATTTATTTTAGATTTATATTTTTAAAAAAGTCATTTTGAGTCCTTATTTTTTTTGAGTTCCTGAGCCGTGAGTCTGCTTGTACATGCCCAACGCAGTTGCTGATAACGACATTGTCCAACCTGTTCAAACCCAATGATAGATGATTACTTTATTATTTTATTTTATTTTTATACAACAATGTACATGTTTTATGAGACAATATTATTTAATTAATTTATTTTTATACATGTATCATATTCATCATTATCTTTTATTTATTTATTATTTAAAACGACATTGACTCGTACGAACGCACGAGTCTTTTATTAGTTATAAATAATAAAATAAAATAATTTTATAAAATATTAAGAGTTTAATTAATATTCCACTGATTTTACACTTTCATCTAATAGAAATATAATAATCTTTCATGTTATACCGTTAATTTAAAATTTACAGTATAATATGACAGGATTTATGAAAGTGATTAATTGACGGTGTAAAATAATTTTACGACAGTGCATACAAATTAAATTAAAATATTAATCATACATTTCTAATATAAAAAATATAAATTAAAATATTAATATATTTATCAAACAATTAATATTCTAAAATTTAAAAAAATTCTACATTATCAAAGGGAAAAATTCAACAACAAGTTGAAAATAAGTATTAGTATCACCCTAGCTTTTAAAATAAAAAGAAACCTAAATCTAACGTCAAACCTGCATATATACTCATCAACGACAATACGAGTTTGGGTGGTAAATGTGATTATGAATTATGTTTTCCTAGTTTATAACTTGCGTGCCAAGCAATTAATTCATAAAAGATATAACCTTGATTCCCAAGGCAAAAAGAAAAATAATCAATGATGTGAGTCACAAATAAACTACGAGCTTTGACAATCCATCCAATTTCATTCAAATGCTAAATCTGATAAACGCATACATCATATACATTATTTTTATTAAGTCAATCTACAATTTCTATTAGCTGAAATTAATCTACAATTTTAAATATTTGTGTTCAAGTATTTAATTTCATTACTATACATTGAATATATTAGATTATTTAGGTAATTTTAATATTTCTAATACACAGACGAAAATAACGATTAAATATAAGAATTTAATTAATATACACTGTCAACCAATTATTTTCATACATTACACAATTTTAAATTAATTATATAATATGACAGATTAATATATTTCTATTGAATAACAATGTAAAATTATTTTACACTGTTAGTGTACACCAATTAAACTAAATATAAATTATTAGATTATTATACAAATTTAAAATGAGGAATATTTATTTCAATATTTCTAGTACACACAAAAATAACAATTAAATATAAATTATTTCTAATAATTTTTTTATATTTATTAATAGGGTGACAAAGCGGGCGGCCCGCCCCAGTTAGACTCGACCTATTTAAATCTGTTCAAAAGCGGAATAGAGCCCGACGATCCAAATTAGACGTCTGAGCTCAAAATTAAATCTGTTATGTGTATTAACGAGTTGGCGGGTCGGCCCACCAATTTTTTTACAATTTAATTTATTACATAATTTACAAAATTGTTAATCATTACTAAAAAAAACCGACAGATTTTAACAATGCATAATAAGACTTTAAGAAGTTTTAATCTAAATGTCATATTCTTCAACATAAACAAATAAAATAACTATAATTCCAAAAATTTAAATCAAACACATTAAAACCCCAAAAATCAAAACTTTATTATTATCTGAGAAACAAACCCCCCTTTACAAAATTTACCTTATAGCATTAAAACTAGACTCCAATGACAACAAATAAAAGAAAATAAAACATGAATCAGAGACCATATCTTCAAAATGAGGTGTTTGTAGTTATGTGAAAAATGAATATTAGAGTTTGAAGAAATGAGAGTTGTTTTGAAAATATGTCTACTACATACCACGTTAATATTGTTTTAATTTCAATTAATTTTTTTTAAAACAAAAAATCCATGGAAAAAATCCTCTCTGTCCTGCCCTCGACTTGTTTTAAAGTGGGTTAGACGGAGTGAATCAACTTAAGACATCTAGTCGAAAACCTCACCTTACAAAAAAAACAGTGGATTAAATAGGCGGATCCGACAGACCCAACCTGTTTTACCACCCATACTTATTGAGTCTCGCTAACAAATGTCCTAAAGATTCTATTTAAACATTTTAAATAAAGAAAATATTCTATAAAAAAAATTAATCAACAAAATATTAAATAAGCATATTCTCAAAAATTTTTTTTTTATTATTTTTAAAAATTTAAAGAGTGTCTAAAGCATTAGTCAACATTTCCATTACTTATTTTATACTCTATTTTTAAGCTCTATTTTTATTTCCAATTTATGAGTTAGAGTGATTTATTGGTGCATGATTAACATTAACTTCATGCACGTAAATCTCTTATTGCTCCCCACTATCTACATCGCATACACAAGTGCACATTTATTTAACTAAATTCATACATGATTAAGTTTATGATTAATGTATTTTTATCTTAATTTTTTATTTAAATACAACCAAAACAATTTAATTAATTATATATATAAATGATGTAATCTATCTTATAATTCGTGATATTTTAATTGTATAAGAATAAATAAATTTATAAATAATATTTGATAATTTGGTACATCACCATCACCAGTATCGTGCACACTTTGTTCAAAACATAGTATCGTGCACACTTTGTTCAAAACATATTATGTTACCTAACTATAAAAAAATTCTATTATACAAATCAATATACAATCAAAACTTATTAATTCCACTAAACTCCACCTCCATTGTATACTGTTATTAATCTTTCCTATTACAACCAATAATAATCTAAAAAAATAGCTTAAAATTATAAACACATCAAGTTACATAACATAACAATGATTTTCAAAATTTATATTTTTTTGGCCCAAGTTTGAACAAAAAAGCAAAAAAAAACTAATTGGGCTTCGGAATAAAAAAACCCATTATATAAATAAGCGAAAGCCACCGCGCTTAAATCTCAAAACAAACCTAACGATGGCCGTCTTGTTGTTCCGCATTTTCACTACCCTATTCTCTTCCTAATCAATTCACCTTCAACACTCTCTCATTCCACTTCTTCCTCCATCTCCATCAACAGGAATGGACAAGATCAAGGTCAAATACCAGCTCAAAAACGAAGACTGGAAACCCTCACCAATCACAGCTCTTGCCACAAGTATCGACGGTTCACGAGTCGCCGCCTCACGTGAGGACGGTTCCTTGGAGCTTTGGCTCGTTTCTCCTAACACAATAGGCTGGCACTGTCAATTGGTACTACTACTACTACTGTTACAGTTAACCAGTTTTTGAATTGGTGTTATTGTTAATTTTTATAATGATTAGTGATGATGCGTTTTTTTTGATTTTGTAGACTATTCATGGTGACCCTAATAGAATTGTATCGTCGCTAGTTTGGTGTCCTGGTGGGGAAAAAGGATTTCCGCATGGACGTTTGTTTTCTTCCAATATTGATGGTTCTGTTTCGTTTTGGGATCTTTGTCACTTGAAGCAAACGGTATGGTGTATGGTTTTTACTCTGTTGTTTTTTGTTGGTTATGCAGTTTTCTATTGATCAGTGAAGATTTTTAACTTTAGAGGGTTTTGAATAGAGGATTATTTACCATTGGAGCAAGTTCTAATCTAGTGACAGTTGTTAGCTATTTAGGGCTGTTTGGATAAATAAGTTAATTAAGTGCTTATGTATAAGCTGGCGAAATGGAAAATATTGTTCTCATACAAAGTTTTTAGTTGTTTGCATATGCTATATTGCAGAACTTATGAAATTAAGGTGAAAACAGTTCATGGGCATGTCATTAGTTGGATGTCTTTTAGATAAGCTCAAACAAGCCTAAATAATTAGGTCCTATTTGGAAGTGGAGGTTTTCTTTAATCTCTTGAAGCTTACTAGTTACTAGATGTTAGGTATATAGTTGGGTTTGTCTGGAAGAGTGAGAGACTGTTATGTTTTTAACAAAGCGGTTATTTCATTTTATTTGACTCTCGTTGGTATGACATGGCACTGTCACAGATGGTGCTTGAATCTAATGGTGTCTCAATCTGGCAAATGGCTGTGGCTATGTCCAAAGGTGATGATGGCGAAACCAATGGTGTTCATATTGAAAATGGTTTTTCAAAGAGATTTCTTAATGGTTTTGATGAACATGAGGACAGTGAAAGTGATGAAGATTCTGATTCACCTGAGGTTCTAAAGCAATCCATTTTAGAGGGTCCAAGAGTAGCGGTTGGTTTTGATGATGGATGTGTTAGAATTTACACTATATCTGATTCAAATGAATTTATATACTTAAAATCCTTGACCCGGGTATCAGGTTAGATTTTCTGTCTTTTTTTATAATTTTTTTTAATGATATTCTTTAATCCCATTAGAGGATGATTTACGGTATTGTTTCATTGTTTTCAGGACGAGTTTTAAGTGTGGCTTGGAGTGCCGATGCTAAATTCATATTTTCAGGGAGTAGTGATGGGTATGTATTACTGTTGTGTTTGGTATTGTCATATAGATCATTGTGTGACTTCAATTGTGCACCACTCAAAATTTTATTTCACTTGAACCCAAGTTGCATGCTTAATTCATAAAAAGGTTAGCATATCCTGCAGCATCATAATCCACTTTTCTTTATAAAAAAATAAAAATTGACATGACTTTGGTAAATATGATCACATGTTTCTTCTCATAATGCTGAATACAAATTAAGAACATTCAGCTGCATAATTTGTTTTTTTTTGTGGACATGGTTTAGTTAACACATTTTTCTGTCTACTCATATAGGATAATACGTATCTGGAATGCCAAATCAGGTCTTGAAGCCCATAGGATTCAAGCTAGACTCGGTGGTGACAGTGGACATGAACTTTGTATATGGTCACTACTGTATTTGAGGTGACAACAATCACATCTTTTTGTTCAACTGCTTAAGATGTGCATTCTTCTATAATTCATATTTACTCTATTGCTTTGATTTTAGTATTGGAGTACCACTGCCTGTTTCCTACCTGTGTTGCTGATTTAGTTATTATTTAGGTCTGGGACACTTGTTAGTGGAGACAGCAGTGGGAGTGTCCAGTTTTGGGATTGCCAACAAGGAGCTACATCTCAAGAACCTATTACTCGTCACAAGGGAGATGTACATGCTTTGGCAGCAGCCCCTAATCACAGTATGGTGTTCTCTGCCGGTTCTGATGGAAAGGTATGTAGTTGCAAAACCTGTCGATTGTTATGAACCATGGTAATTGATCTTTTTAACTCCAAACAAAAGTGAACGACCTGTTGATTTTTTTTCCTTCTATTTTAATCCACGTAGTGAAACTGATTAGCTGTCTGAGGATAAGATCTGTTATCTTATATTTCAGTTTCTAATTTATTACTTATTTTTTTAGTTTATGTTATGTTTTACATTTTAAGTTATTATTTTCTAAATATCATTATCTTTATTTTGAATTAGTATATTATATCGCATACTATAATTGTTTTATTTTATTTTTATCATACTATTTTTAGTGTCTTTGTTTTATTAATGATTTAATGTTATTCTGAGAGATTATTATTTAGATTGTGAGGACCAACAAAACCAAAAAAAAACAAGATAAAACATATCGACAACATGGACAAGGTACCTGAAATTAAGCTATCTAAGTCCAACTGCCGTCTCAGTTATTTAAAACTGATATGTCATGCGGGGACCCAAGAGTTAGACAGAATGAAGATGCAGTGGAGAGAGAAGCTTAGCATGAGAACTATGGAACTGCTTGAATCTTACAAAGGGCTGCGGGCTATTGCTTAATAACTAGGGGTATGCTTGGTTTTTTGCAAGCTTCACCATACCGGCCTCTACAGCTTATATTTTTCTGTGATTTGGCCGGATGGTGTGAGCTATAGCAGCTGCTACCTGAAATTGCGATGCAACAGCTGTTCTAGTAGTGCCTAGTGGCTGCCGGCCATTCTACGGCGTTGTTGCCGCCACTACATTCACTATTAACTACAGAGCTGACACCCTCTCTTCTCTTTTCTTAAAATGTAATTGTGTCTCCGTATCTGGAACTGATCTTGCTTTCTGCATTTATGTTCTCTTAAGAGAAATGCAATTATGTGTTATCTCTGAGTCAACATATTTTAGTGTTGTTATATTTTTATTAAACTGTTGTTTCTGGCCTTTCTTTTGCTCATTTTAATTAAGATTAAATGTTACACAATTCTTTGTCATCGAGTGAATGATAAAATGTTTGTTTCACTTTTTATTGGAAGGTTGTTCTTTATAAACTGTCTTCATCAACCATGGAGAAAGAGAATTGGGTATATGTTGATTATAAAAAAGGTCATTCACATGATGTCCGAGCCTTGACTGTTGCTGTGCCAATTAGCCAAGAAGGTCTGTGAAAGTTTATTGTTTTATTATTTTTCTGCTCTACTCTGAAGGTGGTATTAACGAATATGGTGCTTGGATGGTCTTGTTTGCAAAATCTGTATGTCCTATGTGTTCTAGAGAGTATTTTAGAGAAGTATTTTTAGAGAAAGATGAAAAGTGTTTTTTGATGCTTTTTTCTGAGAATCAGAAATCAATCTTTTAGCTTAACTGATAGTTATTTTCAATGCAAAAAACAACAATTTCTTTTCTGTTGAGAAGCTCATCGAAAGAGACTATTTTTTATTTTACATTTTATCATTTCTGTTCCATAAACCTGGATTTCTGTTTGGCAGATACTTTGCCTGATGAAAGGATCAAAAGAGCTCGTCATGAAGTAAAGCCAGATGATTCTAGTTACCACAAATGGGCTCATTCAGGGCAGCCAATGCTTATCTCAGCAGGGGATGACACAAAACTCTATGCATACGCTGTTAAAGAATTCACCGGGTTTAAACCTCATTGTATCTGTCCTGTGCCTCAGAGAACACCCTTACAAGTAGCACTTAATACTTCCTTCAATCAATCACCGATGCTTTTACTGCAGTCTTCACATTGGATAGAAATCCGTTTGCTACATCTCAAAAGTGTTTGCAGAACCGGAGACTATGCAAAGGCTGAAAGTGTTGGCCGATTCAAGATAAAGGCATCTCGTAAAATAATTTGTAGCGCCCTTGCTAATACAGGGGTGTTTTTTGCGTATTCCGATAATGAAAAGCCTATTCTTTATAAAGTGGAGAGATCCGAAGCAGGAAAAATTACATGGAGTTTTGGTAAAAGGAAGCTTCCCGAGAGATTACCAACTGCCCATTCAATGATTTTTTCTCACGACTCTTCTTGGTTGATAGTAGCTGGCCTTGATAGAAGGATATATGTAAGTTTGCAATATTCTTCATCTCTAAATGTATGTTATAGTAATTTTTTGGATTATGCATAATGTGGATGCTTCTTTCTGAAATGAATGTGTTGGTGCAAACTTTCAATTTCTGTGATATTTGGATTAAGCATCTCTTTTCTTTGTTTAATTAATCCCGTTTGCTTTTGATTGTTGTAAGGTTGTGGATGCCAATAGCTCGGATCTGGTACATACGTTTACACCATTTCGTGAATCACAAGATGAAAACGATGGATTATCAACAGCTGAACCACCCATCACAAAATTGTGTACTAGTTCTGATAGACAGTGGTTGGCCGCCGTGAATTGCTTTGGGGATATATATGTATTTAACTTGGAGACACTGAGGTATTTTTCTAATTTGCTCAATTTCTTTTTAATTGAGACACTTACTCTACTTAAATTGCTTTGCTGCAGGTACCTAGACCATACTTTAGGTTTTAAGGAAACTTGAAATTTACAAACACTTTTAGGAAGATTGCAATAAAATGCACAGAACTGATGCTTTTCACATCCACAATCATTTTTTTTCAGTCTGTTAATATCTAGGGAACAATCTTTCATGCTCAGAACTTATAAAATAAACATTTTTTTTGAACAGGCAGCACTGGTTCATTTCAAGATTGGATGGCGCCTCTGTTACAGCTGCTGGATTTCCACCTCAGAACAACAATGTACTTATAGTTACAACTTCTTCAAATCGAGTGTATGCATTTGATGTAGAGGCCAGACAATTGGGGGAATGGTCGGTGCGGAATACATTTGTTCTTCCCAAGAGATTTCATGAATTTCCGGGTGAAGTCATAGGACTTTCATTCCCTCCCTCTTCAACTTCATCTTCAGTAATGGTCTACAGCTCCAGGTATATTTTTTTTTAATATACAGACATTTTGTATTGTTGAACTAATGTGTTATTAGGGAAACAAAAGGGTTTGAGGAGGATATGGCAAAATCATATCTTTCTTCCATAAAATTTTTGAAGTGTAGTAGTTGTTGAATTTATGAATGTCAAGGATACTATACTAGGAAGTTAAATCAGCATAACTGCTCTATAAGTTGATGACATGATCTTACACGAGCCAATGATAAAATAATGTTCATTGGTGATCTTTTGGTATCTGAAATAATAATGATTTTAGAATATATGTAATCCTTCCTCGCCTGAATAGAAACTATGAGAATATTATATGTATGGTTTTTCATACTTTGCTGCTATTATTTCTCATCTTTTGAAATTGTTCAATCTTTAGGGCAATGTGCTTGATCGACTTCGGCTTGCCCGTGAATCAAGATGAAGGTGAAATGTTACATACTCGAGATTCAGTGGTCAAGAGTTTGCCAAATATAAACGGTAAGAAAAAGACTAAATTTAGGAAGAACTTTGAAAACTTTGAAGTTTTGCCGTTAGAAAAGGATAGAGTGTTATACCTATCCCATATTTCAAATAGTCTCTTCTTTATGATAGAAAAACCATGGTCTGATGTAGTCAATAGCTTAGAAGTTCAACCTGTCCACAGACATATTTATGGGGCATAGACTTCCGGATAGAATTGTTCTCAGCTTTAGGGGGATTCATCATGGCGATCAATGTCCCATTTTGTTGTTTCACTTTCTTTCTCTCTATTGCTGGGATGTTGAAATGTATTGTGTTGTCATAATCAATTTTGTTCTATTAATATTAGTTCTATACACTTTATTTCTGTGCTTGATACAGTAGAATCTTGTGCTTATTGTAACATGTGTAAGTTACAAGGAAATGTAGCCATTTATTCCATTAGTTTTGCACGTATTCTTTGTAGACAGTGTAGGTGTTAGCACTTCTATTAAATTGTGTTAGAATTTTTAGCAAGGATAGAATAATGACAATGTTAACCCTTTACATAAAAAATAAGTGGCATTCATATTTCATAACCATAGCCAAGTGATACTAGTTGCGGGTGTTGGGATACATGTGGATTTAAATATAAATTTTTGCGTGACCAACGTTTGTTTGTTTCATTGCTACTATTAGTTGATTTCTGTCATTGGATCCTTAATTTACATTTGAAGAACATCATTATAAGAATATTGATGAATATTACTTCCTCGATTTGTCATTTTATTGAAGTAATTCTTTATCATTGATGAGGTACTGATTACTTTTTTGATTGATGGTAGTAATTTTGGACCCGTTGTTGTTCCCTCTATTTCAAATTATCAAATTATAAGTTAGTACTTGTTACTTTGAAAAAAAATTCCCATATTGCTGTTATCTTTGGAAAACAATTAATTGCTGCCTCCATTCTTTTTTTATAAACAAAATTTGTTTTTTAGGTTCATCGAATGATAAATGTATGTAGTAAATATAGTTTAAATGTTTCATTTATTGAGTGAATTTTTAAAGTCAAAATTTCTTTTTAGAAGAGATTAGAGGGAGTATGCTTTATAGGAATTACAAAGTGATTTATAACTTTGGCATTTTTTGAGAATTCAATCGATGTAAAAATTGTGTTGTAGTAATGGAAAAAATGAATGGAATATTTAAGAAAATTTTGATTTCTAGAAAATATTCATTGGCTCCAAATAAATGTTCCTTTGTTTTAAAATAAGTGTCTTTTTACTTTTTCAATGTAACACTAATTAATTTTTTATCAACTTTATATATAATAATAAATATTGACTGCACTACTTTTAAAATCTCAAATCATATTACGAATTTATGACAATGTATAATAATCAATATTAATTAAGGGTAATTTAATAAAATTATTATATTTTTTTATTTAATGATTAGTTTTTTTAATAAATGTGTAACAATTTTAAAAAACTTTTATTTTGAGAATGAAGTAGTAATGTAAATGAATGATTGTAATAAATTATTTGAGAATGAAGTAGTAATGTAAATGAATGATTGTAATAAATTAATTGTGTAAAAGTTTTACAACGAAAATGTATTCTGTAAAATTTTTTTACACCCTTGAGCGACTATATGTCAAATTATTATTATTATTATTATTATTATTATTATTATTATTATTATTATTATTATTATTATTATTAAAATATTGATATGATAGGACAAATATAAAAATTTTAATTTATTATATGTGATATTATTTTATATTGTTTGGTATTATTTTTAAACTCAATAATATTGGAGAAAAAGTGAGAAAAGGAAAGTGAAATGGAAAGGAGGTTGACCCATATAAATTACAATTCTAAGTATTGGTCATTGGAGAAATATTGTACTCTTTCACTATTAATTTTTTCATAGTTATCTTTTCTTTATAAAATTTTATGTACCTATAGTTCTTATTATAAGAAAAAAAACTTTTTTAAATCGTAAAATTTTCTTCTTCTTCTTATAATAGCTATCATAGGGGTATTATCATAATTCTAGATAATTGGTGAAGTATTTATTACTTAGTTTTCTTGTACCCTAATTATTTATGAAATGTGAAGTATACAATGAATTGACTAAGTCTATATGTAGTAGGAGATGCGAGTTCGAATACTCAATATCTTACTCGATAAATTTTAGTTAATAGACTATTTGTAAAATAAAATATATACAATGATTTAATAATAACTGAACAATCTAAATTAATAATAAAATTATACCAATATTACTTTTAAATTGTGTATAAAATATGACACTAATAGTTAAGAGAGGGTCGAAGAGAGCGTTGATTAAAAATTCTATATAACAACTGAGGTTCTTTTAACTAGGGCTGGAAATGAGTCGAGTCGAGTCGAACTCACCTCAGCTCGGCTCGACTCGTTAAGAATTGTTCGAATTCGAGTTCGAGTTTGACACGAACTTTTTTTTAAGCTCAAACTCGACTCGTTATAAGTTCACGAACAGTTCGGTTCGACTCGTTAGATTCATCTCATTAGGTTCAGCTCACATGGTTCACGAACTTAAAAACTATTTTTTTAAATATATATATTTTTTTAGTATATTTGACATTTTAAATAAACATATATATTTTAAATAAAATAAAAGTTATCATATTGAAATTTAACTTTATCTTCGAAATCTACTAATTCAAAACCTACACAACTTTCAAGAGATACATTTGAGAGTCTAATTCAAAAACTACTAAATTGAAGATTAAATTTGTCTAAGATTTGAAGTAAATATTTAAACCTAATCTTAAAGACAGTATAATTCTTTTCATATGTAATCGAGTTGACTCATGAACCTAACGAGTCGAACTATGTATAGTTCAAGTTCAGCTCATTTAGTTAACGAACTTAATTTTTCGCTCATACTCAACTCATTTGGTTCATGAACCTAGTTCAACGATTTAATTGTCGAGTCGAATTTCGAACTATCTTCGAGTTGGTTTGGTTCATTGCCAGCCCTACTTTTAACATACATTAAATTGTAATGAAAATAAAATAAAAGTCAAGAAAAATAAAATAAATATAAAAAAGTAAAGGAAATAAAAAGTGTTCGTTTTGCCAGACACTTTTATTGCACAGTTTTTCTCCTTTGACATTCTTCTGGTCTCTCTCCACAGCAATACAATAGCAGTGACAATTATTACCTTAAAATCTCTCATTTTCTTTCCTCTGCATCAATATCACCTAATAAAAATATACAAAGTTTATAATATATTTTCTTCAAAATATTTTTATATAAAAACAAAACAAAATAGAATTAAAGAATATCCAAAACAATTGATCACCTGGTTCCTTTGTAGAATACTCAAAGAAACTAAAATGCTTTGTAGAATCCAGTTTTTCTCTGTACAAATCATGCTCAACTCAATGTAATGTGCAAGAATAATTACTATTATGTAATAATGACCAAGGATTACTAATAAAAAAATACTAATTGAAATAGAGTTGTACCTTTATTCTTGTTGCAAATTTACATTCAAAAAATTTCATTGCATTATTCTCCACTGCTCCATTCTCTAAGAAACTCTCTTGCTTCTATTCAACAACAAAATAAATTAGTTTAGTTGGTATCTGTGTAAAGACATCTAATTGTAAGAGTGCAGATTCGAATCCGCGACATTTCAATTATTATTTTAAACAGTCTCACAAATGTTATTAAATAAGTTCAAATAAGTCAATTAATAGCATCAACCTTATGACTCTTGTTGGGACAACTGAAAAATGGGGAGCTAGCAGTGTCATCAAGTGGTGAAGATTGTTGACTTTTCTCATATTCTTTGACTTTCTTCCTCTTGTTGGATTCTTTAGTTGTAGAAGAAAGACAATGATAGAGATTTTCACAATAGTATTCTTCATTGTCATATTGTGGAGGTCCAGAAGAAGCATCAGACACCATTGATAAATCTTCTTCAAACTTCTCTTCCTCCTCCTTATTCATTCCTGCTCTCTTTCCTTCATACTCTATATTCTCACTTTTCCTTTGGAAACAGCTCTCAGAAATAGAGGATTGGTCTAAGTAGTGAGTCCAACCAGATTCACTAGCATTACTATACTGTGAGGTGGATTTATCCATTCAAATTTCAACTTTTTTTTCTTCTACTTTCTTTCTAGTTCTCAATATTAGTGATCAAGTGAAAGATCATAATAGAGTGATAGAAGTCTTAGAGTAACTGCTATGTATAGCCTCTTACCCTTGTCCTTATTATGATTCCCTTAGTCCTACAGTAACAGATTTATTTGACCATTTTATAAAAGTTAAGAAAATTCCCCCCTATTGAATAGGCACGGCAATCATTGTGTGCAATTGCACAATCCTTTTGGCTTTTATTTGATTTCTATGTGAATGAATCACTATTGCCAGTTGGCTATTGTGTACAAATGTGTCTGTTAGTGAAGAATGTGATAAGTGGATAAATTATGGAACCATTGCATTTCCATGCCATGCTACCTTCAAATGATAGTGATGTTCTTTTTGTATAAAAAGTTAATGATTTATCTTTAAAAAAAGAAAAGAAATAGATATATGCTAACAATTAATTTATTATTTTTGGTAGTTATCACTATAGGGTTTTATAGGGGTCCTAGCAATGCTACTATGGTCTCCTTTACATTGAAAATTAAGTCAAAAATTGATTATTGCAACAATGCCATACCACCCCACACCGACTACAAACTCAAAGTCTTACATACAAACACAATAAGATTCCCTTGCTTTGTCTACTTTATAAGTTTTCTTTTTCTTTTTCACACACTGCATAACAAATCAACTGCATATATTATTGATTAATGTCAAATTTATAGCTTTAATTTCTGTCGATTTATGAAAAGAAAAAGAAGGTCATTTATGGGGTCATGGTTGGTTGTGAATTGTACATTTTAGGCAATGTTTTAAGTTGCGGTTACTATAACTGTCGTGTCACAATTATTGATATGGTGGAGGATCATGGTCAAAAAAGTATATGTTGCCGCTAAGTGACGATGTTTGTCAACATGAAGATAGTTGTTTCGTCTCAAATTGTCAATTATTAAGGGGGTTTGTATTAATATTTATTATGGACTTAAAAAATTTACATATGTTTTTTTTTTTTAAATTCTGGAGATATATTTTCAAACGTTTTCAAAATTTAGTGAAAGTTTGAAATAAGTCG